CCAAGGGCTAACCCATCACACTACCTTAGCTACTTATACCAGTGACCGGTGCTGTGCTCCAAAGCAACAGAAACAGTCATCGGGTTGCTGTAAAGAGCCAACAAACCAAAAAGGCATCTTTCATCGAAGTTGGGACCGTTCACTGCAAAAAATTTGTCCGATTGGCAACTGCAAAGCCAGCATTGCCTGTGGATGCAAACAAAAAGCAAGAAGAGGAGAGCACAGTCAAAGCACCGTACAAAACATCTCAGGCTGTTAAGGACAAGAAAGCACGGAAAGAAAGATTTAACAACAAAGCACCTGTGAAATCAGAGTAACTTCCCCTAAGGGCCTGTGGTCACCATGGAGTGCATCAAAAATGGACAAATTAAGACACCAGAGCAATGGAGCACAGAGCACTTGAGGAAAGGGAGGAGACAGCACCAAGCAGCGTACAAGGGCTTCTGACAGCTCATTCCTGGGGTAAGCTCCTGATTATCTGGAAACACCTCACCACATACCTTCCTCCCACAACGTGCTGCGCTATGAGTTCTCCTTGGATGTCAAACACCATCATGTTGTCACTTCTGGGGACACTGGACATCCCGAGGAGAAAGAGAGGGCAGTGTCACTGTACCATAAGTTTGGCTAAATAACTAAAAAACCATTCGTACAGATGTTCTCTGTAGCAAGGCTCTCTTGAGATTTATTTTGAACTACAAAAGACTAACAGTGTTATCTTGTTAGATATGCATACAGACAAGTTCCTGAAGGAGTTAACAGCCAACAAAGTAACAAGCGAGTGGTAGGACTAAGTCCCTGTGCAGCTCTGAATAAGCACCACTAGTTTTCTTACAGCCTACCTGCGGGAAACGGGGAGAAAGGAGACTGTCACCAATGAAAACATGTAAGATTTCCAATTATAACAAAACAGAGGATCCAGTTCACGTGGAAGTCTGTCCTTTTATTGCATGCTTCCTATCTTCTTTGAGACCTGGGTGACTACTGTCCAAAAATTCTATTTCTTGATAACCAAACCGTTAACTTTAATTCATATTAGGCTAAGCAGAGTCATCAGTATATACAAAAGGCTTTACCAGAATGGGAGGAATAAAATATCTCAGTATTAGGGTATGACATGGGAGGAATTTAGCTGTGGCTTTGAGTCCTCCTCCACAACAGATCACTGCAATAAATCACAGTAAGCAGCATGAGCACTCAACACGGTTTTGAAACAGCTGTGGTTACACCCCTGTAATACCAGCCCAGGAAGAGCAGAACTTCTCAGTTCACAGCCTGGGTTCAGGTGGCCAAAAGCTGCAATGACCAGTCACGTGGGCTTATGCTTCTCACTCAGCAGGTATCAAATCACACAGCAAGAGAGGATTCAAGTGTAAACCACAGACGCTTTCCAAGCAGGGTGTCACCACCAGCCCAGGAGGACGGAAGGGACCAGGGATCTAGAGGTTATCTGGGTACAGAATGAAGAGATGCTGCACATGAGTTAGGGGTAAAAACAAGCTGTCCAAAGTAGCTGTGTGACAATATTCAAACTCCTGCAGTAATTCTGGTCTCCTTGCAAAGTCAGGAATCCGCCTGGGTTTCCCACATCTGCCTCCACAGCAGAAAGAGGAATCAGCTTCAGAAACAGACTTTGGGGAGCTGGCAAGGTTGGAGAAGATGTAAAGAAGGAGTTATTTTTAAAAGCTGTTTGTTTCTAAGTGACCATTTTGCTTAGTCCACCTGCACGCCCTCAGGAAGTTCTACCACTACAGGAGCGCAGTCATCAGGCTCTGCCTCAAAGTCCCATTTAAATTTCTTCGTTAGGTGAGCCTTGAATTTTTCAGCCTTTTTCCTTAGGGTCCCATCAACAGCAGCACTGCACGTGCAGGAAAAAAACACCTAAAAGAACAGAGCAGAGGTCAGTAAGAACTCAGCCACGGCACAAGCTCACCATCTCTTTCCTAATAAGATGCCATCAATAGGGCGTACCACGAAAAGTTTCAGGTTAGGCCACCGGGAAGGGATCCACCACCCTGGAAACCACCCCAGCTTTGGGGCTACCTAAACAAAGCCAACACTTCCCCTCTCATCCCTCAGCCAATACAGACATCCTGCCCTCACTCCTCTGAGTCAGCGTTAGAAATTCACACTAAGGTATTAACTTTGTTTCAAGCAGGAATATATATGTAATTAAATGTCTGCTATGGAATTCTGAAATACTCTGAAGTGTGAGCAAAGAAAAATGTCTGAGCAGAAGGGACAAAAAAAAAAAAAAAAAGAGGACTATCAGTTCTCCTTTGCCACAGAAAGCATGTGTCAAAAAGGCCAACAGGTAATTACACCCATCTTCTTCACAGCTGGAGGGACCAGGAGATCCCCCAAAGTATTTCTGTAATACGGCATCACCAACACCTTAGAATACAGAGGAAACTTCATAAAATGACCTTGAAAGTAAGAGAAGAATGGGAGCTCTCCGGAAAAAGTCTGTTTACCCCCAGCCCCCAGTGCCATTCCCTTGAGCACGGGGCACAGAAATCTGGACTAACCTCTAAGGGTGGCTCCCCTCCATCATCCAAACACACAACACGAACCTATGAACTTTTCACAAATTCACAACTTCTGTTAGCACTTGGAGAGGTAAAGCACCTGTGATTAAACAGGGCATTAAGGCTCAAAGCCCATCTCTCATCTGCTTCTGCTCCTCTTCTGAACTCCAGATCCACAATTCATTTCCGCAGAAAGAAACGTACATTTCAAAGCCAAAGAAAAAAAGTATCATTGCATGATGGCAGTGAAGGGAAAGCCCTCTGGGGAAAAAACAAGCTCTTAGCTGGGAGAGACCTACTGACAGCCGGATAAAACACTGACAATGAGCAGCAAAGTTCATTCCTTTGTTTATGATCATTTGCCTTTTGCTTGTTCATTCTACCGTGAAACTGCCTTTGGATAACAGAACTCCCTTACTCAGCAAGGCTGCTATTAAAAAAAAAAAAAAGATTAAAAGATTATACTTCCCACTTCTCCTCAATGACTTGCACATTAAATTAGTTATTTCATCTTTTTTTTTTTTTTCTTTAAACACTGTTAGGGCTGCACACTCAACAAAGGTAATGCTGTTACACTTCTTGTCTTAGATCAAACTCCAAAAATAAAGTTGCTGTATTCAAAGCTGAGCAAAAGCTCACAGAGATAATACACTCTCCCCCCCACACACCATTTTGCTCTTCTTTTGATCCACCTGCCCACACCCAGTTAAGATTGTTAACTCTGAGGGCTGCGCACGTAAAGTCATTGGGTAAGGCAAGTCCCAGAGGTTCCCCAGCACTATCAGGGAAATCCCACAGGAGCAGAGAAATTGAGAACTTTTAGCAAGGAGAGGCTCCATTCAACCATAAGGTAAATTTCTTCTTTGTCACTAGGTATCGCGGTGACTCCTGCCAGGGCTTAACAGCGATCGCTGAAGCCAGCACGGTCACCTAAAGGCATCAGCTTCTGCTGCTTCAGTAAGAAACACAGACTGACGAAATCTAAGGGGGTATGAGACTCTGGCATCCAAAAAGAAAAGTTAACCAGTAAGACAGGGTGCTTCCAAAATTCCCAGCAGATGGAAAGAATGGCTGGTTGAGAGTGCAAAGCACTGCTGTGAACTGACAGTGCAAAGTGTTGCTCCGCAAGCGTGCTGCAAACAGAGCTAGGTTTTCCAGTCCTGCAATGGGATGGAAAAAATCCACCAACAAAAATTAAATAAAAACAAATAATAATTAAAAAAATCAAAACTTGTATGAATCCAAATCCCAAAAAAGTGAAGAAAGTCACTTGATTAAAGCAGTACTTCCCATAACATTTTACCCAGTAAATTAAGAACAAACAGCTCCCCTGTTCCCCAAACCTACAGCAAGAACTTGGGAGTTAGAAGTAGAGAAATGCAACTGCTCCCTGAGGAAGGAGAAGGCGTTACCAATTTGTATTAAGCACCTGCAACATGACTTACTACTGCTGCTGCTGGCATTAAATTTCCAATGCTGAGCTTCACCAGTGTATCTGGTTTTGGCTTTTTAATTTTTTTTTTAATTTTTTTAAACCAAGTTTTGATTAGTCTGTTTGCTGAGCCATTGGCATGGTTACAACCACTGGGAGTAACTGGTTTTACTGGTGCTGAATTACAGACTTGCCCATGACAGTCTCAGCAGAAGCAGCGTTTTCTGCACTTTGGATTAACCATAGATTCCCTCTGGATAAGAACTTGATTATAGGAAATCTTCAGCTTTGCTTAAGGCTA